CTACTACTGTATGGTATTTCTGATGAAGCCTGGCATAAGAGTGTCTTTAATAAACACTCACTCTATATAGTATTTTTCATGTATTTACAGCAATAAAATAAATTATTTACAATTAAATGTACAAAAACGCAAACTAAATTATTTTATTTACAGCAATAAAATAAATTATTTACAATTAAATGTACAAAAACGCAAACTAAATTCTTTTATTTACAGTTAATAGTTGCGGTAACTTTCAAATGTAAATCAATGATTTCTGCAATCAGTTAGCACTAACGTGAGTGCAACAAATAAAGTGCAATCATTTACAGTTAAGTTTTAGCYAACACACATAACTAAGAAGAAGAACCAAATATACAGCTAAAGCACAATGAGCGATACTAAAAACTAGTTATAAACAGCGAAGTACTCACCCATTCTGCCACCCGGTGCCGATAAGCCATCTTAACACATTATTTAACAATTAATTTATTATACAACAAAAAACAACCAATTAGTCATTTATGTGTGTGGTGTGTGTGTGTATGTGAGGAGTATTATTTGTTTGCGGCATTTTATTAATTACGTAATTTTATTAAATAACAGTAATTATTTAATTCAAGATTAAATGCATTTCAATGCACATAATAAGCCGGCATTTGAAAAGTTAGCAGTTTCAGATTTTTCAAAGTTTTTTTTTTTTTTTTTTTAATGTAAAAAGATCCGATTTTAACGGGCAGATGTTGTAGAAGAATAGAGATGAAGAAAAGAGAGAAGAAAATATAGCATATGTTATTATAATTATTTATTTTAATTTTTCATAAATGCATTTGAGTGTGTTAATACATAAATAATTGAAGCCAAAGTGGAATAAGTGATAAATGAATGAATAATGATGCAAATGTTAAAATAATTTATTGAAAGCGCTTGAAAATAAACAAACAATTTAATCGGTTATTTTATGAAAAATGCTTCAGTAAATTCATTTCTGTCAAATAATCGAATTAAAAAAAAAAAAAATTATAATATATGTGTTTGTGTATGTGTATACATAYGTATGGGTGCAATTTTGAGTGCGTGAATGAAATAATGAATTCAATTTGTATGCCAGTGTGGATRTACATATGTCTGTATGTATGTATAGGAAAATGCCAATCACAAATTGGAAAGTGAATTTAATTTCATAAATATTTAGAATAATGCGATTCTGCGTTCACATACATACATATTTATGTGGGAATGTCTGGGTATGTATGTATTTCAACTTGAGAGCAGTTTAGTTGTGGAAATCTAAATAGATTATGTGTAGTGTTGTGTAATGATTGCCAACCCGTGCAAAGTAGATTTTATTGTTACTTTAGTCTTTTCATTTTTATTTGCTTACCTTGCACYCCGCCTTTGTCCAGAAAATTGCTGAGATTAAACGTTGAGTTGCTGGACGCTAAATACTGCATGAATCGCTGTGAAAAACAAAAACAGAATTAAATTTATTAAAAGGTGAACTTAAATTTTGAATAAAACGCATTAATATTTATTAATGARAATATCTATAATAAAAATATTATTGACTTTAACACGTAAGCAAGAAAGCACGTTAACTTTGGCTGCAGCGATGCTATAACRCTCTTCCCGGGTGCATTTTTAATAAATAWACAAGTAAGGAAGTGCTAAGTTCGGGTGGAACCGAACTTTTTAATCTCTTGCAGTTTGTGAGAATCAAAGCCAGGGAAATACTCYAAGGTKTAAAACCAATMRTATAGAGTAAAGTCAGACGAATGTTTGAAAATGCTGTTATATGGGAACTAGGCCAATTTTTCGCTGAAATTTATCCATATTACGCGCAAAGATACACTGGAGTAAAACACGTTCTCTTCYTTTCATTGGGGTAACTCAGATATTGGCCAATACATGCAGTACAATGTCACCCGGAAGTTCGAAAACCTTTATATTAAGAATATGGGGGCAAAGGGATGTATTGGGCCGACTATTTTTGATATACAGACATACCATTATGATAGAAGGTTTATGACTGAATTTCAATTTATATATGTATTATCTCACACATTGACCGATATTTTTGATCAAAAGTCACCTATACGTATCGGGGTCCAAATATTCGAAACCCATCAATTTGAAGAGTTATGATTGGATTTGAACAATTTTTCTTCATAAAGTACTGATTTGTGTACTGGAAATTGAAGGAATCAAGGGGAATTTAAAATTGCGCTATATGGAGAGTAGGCGTGGTTATTGTCCGATTTCGTCTATTTTCACAATGTAACAATGTGTGTAAGAATGTAAGAAAAATGCCACGCAAAAATTTTGTCGAAATCGGCTAGACGGGTCTCGAGATATGAGATTTCACCAAAAAGTGGGCGATGCCAAGCCCATCGTCAAATTTTCACACCGGCTCTCATAAATCTCTCTCATACCACATCGGAGGTAAGACAATAAGTCTCTGACTTTTTTAGTGATTGACTTATTGCGTTTTTAGTAGTTTTTAGTAGTTTTTAACAGTACCGTTATATACGGAGTGAGCGGGGTTATCTTCCAACTTCATCCATTTCCACGTAGAGATCTTATAATATTCGAGAAAAGAAATTTGTTTGTAGTACATTATACTCATTAGAGGGCGGGGGTCATGTCCACTTTTGAAAAATTTTGCAAACAAATGAACTTTGTCACTGCGATCTCCTGTGTCAAATTAGAGTTTTATATCCTAATTTAGTGCTTAGTTATGTCACTTTATATGTCTACGATTACGCCCATCTACGAAATCGAAATTTTCTTTGTACGAAGAAGCTCACATACCAAGTTGAATCAAGATATCTCAAGTTGCAGCTTGCATGGACGGACAAAGAGACAGTCACCCGGATTTCAACTCGCCTTGTCATACTGATCATTTATATACAGGCTTTGTCCGGAAAGTAATAGGACTGATTTTYCTCTGCCGCGACTGTACTTTAAAGGGTGCGCGCCCCGACTGGATTCGGTAGCGGGCGTTCCTAGCTAATGAACGAGCGTCTGGTCAGTTGTCTTCGAGCACCTGGAGAGTCAGGACAAATATTTTCACGCGACCTATTTCTGTGAATGGTGCAAGCCGAAAATTCAACGTTCGTTAGAGCAGAGGTACGCGTTTAAATTCTGTATGAAACTCTGTAAATTTGCGAGAGAGTTTGATATGATCAAGCAGGCTTAACCAGATGTTGCTTTAGCAAGAATTTGTGTGTTTCGTTCGCACCAGGCCTTTTTGGTGGGCCGAGAAGAGGTCGCTGATGACTGAGTAAATCCAAAGTCAAAACGATACTCATTGTTGTTTTTGACATCGCCCACCATGAATTTGTTCCTCCTGGACAAACCGCCAACGCCAAGTTTCACGAGGAAGACCTCAAGAGACTGAAATGGAAGTCGCACCACGACAACGCCCCGGCTCACACCGCCTTTCTTGTTAACATTACAACATTTCTGCAGTCGCCATACAGCCCAGATGTGGCCCCCGGACTATTTTTATGTCCTTGCCTAAAAAGACCGGTGAAAGGCCTTCCGGATTCCGAAGAATGCCTTTCGTGACGCCTTCAACGTTTGTATATCGCGCTACATAGACGCATAAACAGCCTATTTTGAAAGTTCTTAGAGAATTGTAACGATTGGTTAAATATTTTTTTTTATCGACTCAGTCCTATTGCTTTCCGAACAAACCTTGTATACATAACCCTATATTTAACTCGCTTAGTTTTAGGTGATAGGTACAATCGTTAGGTGCACAAAACTATTATACACTCTAGCAACATTTAGCAAGAGTATAAAATAAGTATTTATTCTGGCTCAGGGATGGTCCAACTTTCGCATAGTTCTAAGGCAAATCCGAGTTTCGAATATAATGGATTTTCGAATCGAGTTACAGATTAGGGCACCAGAACTAAAAGCAAATTTCGATTTTAAATTTTTCAATATCTTCTATTTTAAAATTATTTTAGAAAAATATCCATTTTATTAAAAAAAGCCCCTTGACCAAGAGCAAGGAAAGTTATACGAACAATACAAGTGATAAAACGCCCCGCATTTCAATATATGCTCACTTATCATTTACATATATGTATGTGAATCTGTATGTACATATGTATATAGTGCGATACGCCTATTCTTACACAATTCCATTGCTATCAATAAAACACAATTACTCGCCCGATATTATTGTTGATTCCCAGTTGTTCGTACACAAGTTAGACATATTTACTACGTATGCATTAGTTRCATATATTATTTATGAACATAAACATTTTATTGAAAAAATATTTAAAACATTAATACAAAAATAAATAAAGCATTTTTATTTACTCACCTCATTGCCATATGCCATCAAATGATGAGTGGTTATCAGTGCTTTATATACCACCACCCAATTGGTATTCTGTGAGCGTTCAATAAGTAAATTGGCCAAATGCGGTATGGAGACATTCGGTTCGTTCGTGCAATGTACCAAATCTGCAAGTTTATAAAAAAGAAAAAAACGAAATTAGAAATTAAATATTTTTAATACTGGCAGTCTMTTACATTTATTTACGTTCAAGTTTAGGGCAAGTGTTTAGGATTAGGTGGGGAATAAACTTAGAAAAGTCGCTGATTTTATGCGCACGAGAAATTAGCTTAAATATCTACTAATACAAGTAATACTCATTGAAATATTTCGACCTAAATGGTCAGAACTCTACCTCGACTAGCTTGAACTTATACCGGAGAAGTTCGCTCAGCATATCGATGCTGTTTATACCAGTTTATACCAGTACCTGAAAGGAATCATAAGTCCACTATAATAAAAGTATCTTTCTAAAATATACAGAGTTTCCCAATAAGAATGCCATTATTCCTTTTTTTGTTTTTTTATTTAATGTGAAGTACAATCGATACAATTTACTTTTGAATATAACTGCATTCGAATAGTTCCACGACTTCTTTTGAAGGAACGAATTCGATGAACTCAGTTTCGAGCACTTTTTCCACTAAAACAAGTCGTATGCCATTAATATTAGCACGTTCAATATTGACTTTTAGAACTTAAAGAGAGCCTAGCTTTTGCTAAAGACCAATGACTTCAGAAAACCCCTCTAGCAGTAGTCTCATTATGTTGAATCACAACTTCTTGGGGGCCATTCAATGTAGCAATTTCTTGAAATCGAATCTATAAACGTTTCTCACAATAATACGTTGTTGTGTGGCACTTAGCCTCGTCTTGTTGAAACCAGATGTGGTCAAGATCCCCCTCTTCCAATTGCGATCATAAAAATTTGATTATCATCGATCTATACCGATTTCTATTCACAGCAATGGAGTCATTGGCTCCATTTCACAAGAAGTACGGACCGCTGATTTTAGCTGACAAAAAACCACACCAAAGTGTCAATTTAGGTTAATGTAATGGTTGTTTATGAATAATTTGTGGATTTTCTTCGCAACAGCATCGATGAAAGTGAGCTTCATCGGAGAAAATGATAAAAAATCGTAATTCTTTTCAAGTTGCTCCGAGACAAAATCAACAAATTCACGACGTTTACGGTGGTTCAATAGCTTCAGTTCTTGAGTGAGAACAATGTTATATGGGTGCAAACCCAAATCCTTTTTCAAAATACGCTACTTTGTAGATTGAGACAGTCCTTATTCTTGGGAACGTCTTGTACGAAAAGTTGCTATTGCGGAACAATGGAAAAAAATGACATATCATGACATATTAGTGGCCAAAACGACGATATAATTGGTGTGAACTTTTCGTAACCGAACACTATAAGAATATGTTTTGTGAATTTCGTGAAAGTAATAGTCGACTGAGCAATACGAAACAAACACTCGACGCATTACTAGCGAGATCTTAGACATCCAGGAAGACGAGTTCAGCTGTTAAGGCTAATTACAGAAATCAATAAAATGGCAGCAAAAGCGGCAAACCTCTACCAACGGACGGTGGACCCACACAGCGTGCGAACCTGGATTTCCACCTGARCCAAATATTAAGCGGGAACGGTTGCTTCAGAGGCTATCTACACAAATTTCAAAAACACGTCAGTCCGTATTGTTCAATGTGTACGGAGTCCATAGAAGACTCTGAACACGTGTTTCTGAATTTTGCCCTCGGTTTCTAAACATAAGAGAAAAATCAGAAACTGCACTAGATGGTAATTTAGAAGAGGAAAATTTTACCGTACRTATGTGTCAGTCCTCTGATAAGTCGAGAGCTGTTCGCGAAGCGGCAACTTCCATCATGACTAAATTAAGACAGTTACAKGTTGGACAGACTGACGTCTACAACCTATAAAGGAGGCGTAAAATGTCTTGCCAATCCCACGAAGTTATGTGTGGAGGTTTCGTAGGAGAGTCTTGACATGGAAGTAGGTTAGGTTTAACGGATTAAAGTTCCRCACTCCGGCTTTCGATGCTTTCCCCTACTAATAAGAAAAGGCCGCCTCTACGGGAAAAATTGTGTAAAATATATAATATAATATGCATATACAAGTATATATGTACATACATCGCCTCTGTAAACCGAATTAATAATTCAAAAACTTTACATAATGGAAATCGTATTCAAGTTGTTGAACTCTTATAGCCACACATATACATAGTACATTATGTATGTACATAAGCACTTATCTGGTAAAAATTAATAAATTAAAGAGATGCAAGTGTACGAACGGGTACATATGTATTTCCATTGCACTTGCTTTGCGAAACTTATAAGCGCATAACATGCAGTCGCTTATCAGTACATAGGAACATATGGAATTGATAAATGCACAAAAATAAATTTAAACTGCTTCCTCTCAGTCTAGTGATTTCTTCATTCTTATCCGTTAATTATAATGAAATATATATTATATATATATTGGAACCAGCATTAACACCAACAACTATGTCAGCCTCGAAATCGAACACAGAATAAATCTTGCCAACAGGTGTAACTTCGGACTGAGTAGGCAATTAAAAAGTAAAGTCGTCTCTCGAACGAACAAAGATCAAATTCTACAAGTCACTCATCATCCACGTCCTGTTATATTGTACAGRGGCATGGACGTTGACAACATCTATCCAGTTTTTGTTACGAGTTTTCGAGAGAAAGGTTCTGCGGAAGATCAATGGCGAACACCGCAGTCGATGGAACGATTTATACGGCGACATTGACATAGTTCARCGAATTAAGAGACCTGGCCAGCGTAGCGTCTGTCGTCCGAATGGAAAAAAACACTCCAGCTCTGAGAGTATACGACGCAGTACCTGCCGGRAGAAGCAGTGGAAGAGGAAGACCTCTACTGCAATGGAAAGATCAGTTGGACAAGGACTTGTCTACACTTGGAATCACCAGTTGGCGCCAAACAGCGATAAGGAAGAGCGACTGGTGATTGTAAACTCGGCTACAACCGCGCAAACGGTGTCTGCTCCAATAAAGATGAAGATATAATATAATTAAGTTGACCATTAAGCTTGCAAACTTCCAGAAGGAAGCCCTATAAAGTATATCCGARTTAAATTAAAAATCTCCTTCTGCCTGTCATATGTGTACATACGTGAACTATTCCCCAGTTGTTGAGATATCAATCTAAAACTTTGCACCCATCCTGTTCTGTCAAAAAATTTGATCATTTGTCAGCACATCGGACATCGGACTACTATATATAACGCTATCATATAAAATGACAAGGTATCGTCACGAAATTTAGCATGGATTATTATTTCAGGTATCGTTACAATATCCGAACATATTCTTCAGAAGGATCACTAAAGCATATAGCTGGTGTACGAACAGACTGATCCAAATCAAAATCAAAATCTTTATATACCCTCTTAAGCCACACGAAATGCATCTGTATTATAACTCTAGTTTAAGGTTTTTTGTCCTTTGCAGTATAAAACCGCTAAATTTTCTTTAATACGTGTCTTCCTATGATTTTGAGATCAAATTTGTTTCGAAAGGAGGACAAATTACTAGCAATTTTTTTTTTATATTTATGTATTTATCGCATAACGGCAGAAAAMATTGCTGAAATAATTTCSAGGCCTGATGTCGAGTTAACAGTACTTGGCCGGATGAAAATCTGGTTCGTTCCGYTTACTTAGACCCGACTGTGGTGGGAAAAGAAAGAAATCGGCACATGTGGTAACTCTTTTATCACCTGCGTAACTTATTTATAAATTAAATATAATAAATGTTGCTATCAGTCAATAATTTATGTAAAACTAAACAAGTAATGTTAACGGCAAATCTTTAATAATGTTAATATCGTGGAGTCTACTTAGTACTTGTACTTCTACGTAACATTTTTTGCACGAAACGAAATAGATTAGCTGAATAATAATGCATTATAAAATTAATTATGCATTTTTGATAACGGCTTTTTGTTGCTAACCTTTTAAAATTACATAATTAGTTGCGAGCGCCCAATTAAATAAATATTTTAACACAAGAACGCYCCTTGGAGCATCRTTTATCAACCAAATAAAAGCGCAWAGCAATAATACAACACTCTGGATCGACTAGCTGCGTGCAAATTGAAAATTTGCATATACATATGTACCATATACATATGTATGTACATATATACATACAAGCAGTCAACGTCAGAGAAATAGCACACTTTTAAAATATGTAAATGGTTCGATTTAGTTTTTAGTTTCATCAAGCGCATCGCAATAATTACTAACTTGAGTATATATATCTTGGCTTCCACAACATATAACGGTAAGCTGATGCTGTTACTGTTTTGTTGTTACTCTTTATAATCGCATTTTAACGGTTATTTGATTGGACAAAGAATAACTCACATTTTGTTATTGGTTCATTATTAATTTGCAGTCGTGAAAAAATACATTGACAAGACATAATAGCTAGTTAAATAAAATTAAAATCTTTAAAAATTGGTAGAAAGGAGAACGATTTGTGACATACACTAAAAAAAGGCAAAAATCCAACGCGGACTACCAAGATTATAAATTATTCGAGGAAAATGCCATAAAACGCTATAAATTTTATGAAAAGTGATCCTAATTTGCTAATAAAAAAAAATACAACCGCAAAGAAGCAGGGCTGATCCTTTTAAAACTTCTCGAGAAATTATGGCTGAAGTAATTCAATAATTTGGATGGCGGCTCAATTATGCTCAGTAGTTTGGACAAATTAGTCGAAAAAAAACCATTGCTGTCCAAAAAAAAACATTAGAGCCCCACTGAACTTTGCTAGAGAACATTAGAAAAGATGTCATATTTTGTAAAGTAGTACTTTTAAGCTATGAAACAAAGGTAAATAGTATTGGATCCGATGGCAAACCATTTGTCCATCGMYCAGGTGCCGAGCATATAACTCCAAATACGCTAAAAACACCGGCCTTGGAACATTGGTACGSATATATGGTAGAATGGATCAATTTTAAAATCTCAACATTCTCAAAAATACTATGGAACCATTCGGTATCGAATCGAAGCCTGTGAATCGGACTTTTATG